TGATTCTCTCACCTCAGCCTCCCAAGTAGCTGGGACCACAGGTGTGCTTCAGTGTGCCCAGCTAATTTTTGTATTTTTTTTTTCTTGTAGAGATAGGGTTTCGTCACATTCAAATTCCTGGGCTCAAGCAATCTGTCCACCTCAGCATCCCAAAGTGCTGGGATTGTAGGTGTGAGCCACCACCCCCGGCCCCAGTAAGCAGATTCAATTGTTGTAAAACAGCTTATAGCATACTGTGTTGTGCTGTCTGCAGTAAATGCATTTATGATGTTTTCCACTGATTATGTGTTTATTGGGATGTAACCCTATCATAAGTCAAGGAGCATCTGTATCTCATATGTAGCTCCTCCATAATTTATGGCAACCAATATATTTCTCTATTTATACGAATACTCTATTTTTTAAAAATTATTACGGAAATTGGTAGACACATTCAGAAATAAAAGAGGAAATAAACTTTAGTGCTATTCACTCAGTTCAACACTTTGTTAGCATATGGTCAATCTAGTATATATTTTCAGCTTTTGTATCATTTCATCCATAAATACTTAAAGCATTTATACTCTGTCTTGCAATAATTTATTTTCAAGTCATTTCTTTGACTAGACCAGCAACTATCTTTATTTTATTTTTTTGTTCTATTTTTTGAGATGAGATCTCACTCTGTCACCTAGGCTGCAGTGCGGTGGCACAGCCTTGGCTTACTGCAGCCTTGACCTCCTGGGCAGAAGCAATCCTCCTTTCTCAGCCTACCAAGTAGCTGGGACTACAGGTGCATGCCATCACGGCCAGCTAATTTTTGATTTTTTTTTTTTTTTTTGTAGAGGTGAGGTCTTGCTATGTTGCCCAGGCTGGTCTCAAACTCCTAGGCTGAAACAATCCTCCTGCCTCAGTCTCACAGAGTGTTGGGATTACAGGCATGAGCCGCTGTGCCTGGCCTAAACCAGTAAGTCTCATAGGCAGGAAGTCTGTCTTATTTTTCCTTATATTCCCATCATTGAACACATTGTACATAGTCATTAAACATTTATTAAATGAATAAACAAGTGAATGCTGAATTAAACAGTAAGTGAAAAGAGAACTGACATTTAGGCTCTGGGGAGCACTAACAAAAGGATAGACAGAGGAATACAATCTAGCAAAGGATATGTAAAACAAGTAATTGGAGTTACTAGCTAAATGAAAATATTTTAGCTTCTTTATGATGAGCTTAAATTAGGGCATTCATAAGCAGGGAGTGTAGGAGATAGGTCAGATAGTTCAAGGATTTTCTGAAGCTTCTGATAGGGATCAGTGTGGAGATTCGTGTATTTTTTTTTTTTTTTTTTTGAGGCGGAGTTTCACTGTTGTTGCCCAGGCTGGAGTGCAATGGCACAATCTTGACTCACGCAACCTCTACCTCCTGGGTTCAAGCAATTCTCCTGCCTCAGCCTCCCGAGCAGCTGGGATTACAGGCGCCCGCCACCGTACCTGGCTAATTTTGTATTTTTAGTAGAGACGGGGTTTCTCTATGTTGGTCAGGCTGGCCTTGAGCTCCCAACCTCAGGCCCTGCTTGGGCCTCCCAAAGTGCTGGGATTACAGGCCTGAGCCACCGCGCCCAGCCCAGAGATTATTTTTTAACAGAGGCTTTGGATTAACCCAATGTTATTAGAACATCACAAACCATAAATTCTACAAACAAAAATTGCAATCACAAATTGTATATGCTAAGTGTGGGAAAATTACAAGTTACCCATCGGTTTCTTTAGGCATTCTTTTTTTTTTTTTTTTTTTCGTTTTCAAAAACAACTTTATTCATGACACATATTTTTAAAAAAATTCCCACCCCTGGAAATGAGCTAAAAAAACCAAAATACACTTTTCACCTCCCTGTTCCCACTTCTCATTCCCTCCAAATAAAAGGGGAAAAAGGCAAAGGGAAAAAAAAATAACTGAAAAACAAAACACTCCTAAACCTCCCAAAACAAGGTAGTGCATTTCCCCAGGGGGAAGGGGAATTTACACTGGAACCACTGGGAGCTGAATGGAGATCTTGCGGCTACAGAAACCTGCAAAGAAAGACACTCAAAACAGAAAAAGAAGCACAAAAGGAAACAAAATAGATCACCAGGCAATCTGGAGGGGCAGGGAGCCGGAGAAGAGGGCTGGGGTGGGTGGTAGACTTGACTGGACAGGAGCAGGCAGGACGGGACTGTGAAAGGTGAGGAGAAGATGGAGGGAAGGTAACAAGCAGAACAGTTTGGTGTCCTTCCAGAGCCCTGGGTAAAAAAAAAAAAAAAACAAAACCTCCTACCACCCACACTCACCTACCCTTGAGCAGCACCCAAGGGGGTGAAATGGTGCAGGGAAACATGGGGAGCAGCTTACGCAGTTGAGACGTGTCCATGGCGAATCCCCAGAGTGAATAAGCAGCCTCCTGCCCTACTCCCTGGGCCTTCCCCTACTCCCCAAAGCAGGTCCCTCCTCAGCTGTTAGTTATGGGATTTTCCCCCCTTCCGCAGTATATCTTTTTTTTAAAAAATGTTTTTTTTCCCATCAGGGTCATCTTCTGTTTTTTTTTTTTTGTTCTTTTTTTCCCCCTCCTTTCCTCTTTTTTTCTTCTCTCTTCTCCTAATACTTTTTTAGTAAGGGGAATACCATGATGTTGCTCTAGCCCGGCCCCTGTAGACGTGACCCTGGGGCCTGCTGTTAAAACCACTGTAGAATCGAGAGAGGTAACTGTTATAGTTGGTGGTCTGGGCGCGGTAGCGGGCTTATGGGAAACCCCGGTCTGTTGTGCTGATTCCTGGTCTGTTGGTTCGTTTTGGGATCACCTTGATTTGCCTTCCTCTAAATAGGGACTCATCTGAGACCAAGGAAGTCCTCACTGATTCTTTGTCTGAGAACTCTGTATATGCAAACCCTTTGGGATGGCCACTAAATTTGTCACAGAGTATGGTGACACGGTTGACTGAATCACAGCCATGAAAGTGAGCTTCCAGCTCTTCTGCTGTTGCACCATAGTCCACATTGCCAACATAGATGGAACGGGCATCAGCTTCCATCTTCTCTTCAATGACATGATCACTGGGCCAGCATTGCCTAGAGGTGGACTCGTATTCATCTGCTTCTCTACCTCTGTTCTGTAGCTCCTTTAACTTCTCAGCTTCTTCTTCCATCTCCCTGACTCAAGTTTTGATAGTTTCCAGTTCCCGGTCCTCAATGGCGCCGTACCCCGGGTCACCCTCGACCAGTCCCGGCTCCTCCTCCTCCTCCTCCTCCTCTTGGCTGCCAGGGGCTCCCGAACCAGGCCCAGGGCCCGGAGCTCCCGCAGGAGTGGGGGTGTCGGGCTGGGGCGGCTCCTCTTCGGGCTTGGGCTCTGGCTTGGGGTCCAGCAGCAGCTCCTCAGGCTCCAGTTCCTCAGACTCCAGGCCATTCCCGTAGTCCCCTGCGCCCCCCGGGGTCCCCTCCCCAGCCTCCCCACCGGCCCTGGGCACAAGATGGCACCGCCGCCCTGGCCTGGGGCCCCGACCATCCACAGCCCCCGCCATCCGCAGCCCCTGCCGCCTGCTCACTCTTCAGGCATTCTTAAATTATTGCTCCCCTTCCATAGTATTATGTTCAAGGTATTAAAGGCAGCAGTAGTACTAACGTGTGTAGATATACACAAATTAAGGAAAGAGTTAAAATTAGTTTATTCATTCATATTGTGTACCTGCTATGTTTTAGGCACTGAAAAATGGATATAAGTCTGGTATATTTGTCTAACCCATCAGTTAGCCTGGTGCCTGACACATATTAGGTTCTTAAGCAAGTGCATTAAGAGGATAAAGAAGTGTTGGCAGATTTTGCCTTCCATTTTTAATGGTTTCATCTCTTACTGTTCCTCTACAGGGCCAAAACACTCATTGACTCAGATCTCTCAATCCATGCTGGATCTCTGTGATGAAAAACTCAAAGAGGTAAGACAGAGTGAGAGAAAGGCAGTGGAATTTGAAGGAGGGGGGTTTATCAGTGTTTAGGAAGTAGGGAATTTAACAGAAGGAAAAATATATGTGGGAGTAGCAGATATTTAGTATATGTGAAGGCTGGAAGGGACTTTAGAACTCATAGGCCAGTCCCTTTTGTAGATGGAAAAACTGGGCCCATAACTCATTAGAAAGGGCAAAGGAAAGTGAGTTTCCAGGAAGTCAGCTGTAGCTGAGAGACTAGTCAATGTTTTAGGAAGGAGGAATTTTAATTTTTTCTTCTTTGTATTTTTAACCAACCAAGCAGCAAGTGCTAGAAATTTTAATTTTTAAATGATAATCTATCTATATTCCCTCTTCTTACCAAAAACATTTAATGGTACTTTATAAACCTACAAAAGTGTAAGTATGAAGTAGACATTTCACAAAAGAGGATAGCTAGCCAGTAAACATGGAAAGATTCTCAACTGGACGGATTATTGAGGAGATGCAATTTTAAACCACGATGTCACTACATACCCACTGGAAAGGCTAAAATTAAAAAGACTGACAATACTAAGTGTTGATGAGGATTTGGAGCAATAGGAATACAAACTTTCTCCTACTAGAGTCTAAAATAAATTTATTGGGTTACGTCCCATTATACAAAAGTCACTAATCAGTAATAATGTTTAGTGTTGTTCAGCAGTAGTTTTATACCAAAAACAGAGAGCATGATCTTAAAGCCTAAATTGCTAAAGATGTTTTTTTTGTGTGTGTGGCAGCTATGATGTTGACACTCAGGGAAGTATAAATTTTGGTGAACCAGAAGAATAGAATGTAGAGTACCTAAAGAAGTTGTTGACGTATCCATTTTGACCGTTTTACTGGAATATCTGGTTTTTTTTTGTTGTTTTTTTTTTTTTTGAGAGAGGGTCTCGTTCTGTCACCCGGGCTGGAGTGCAGTGGGATGATCTTGGCTCCCTGCAACCTCTGCCTCCTGGGTTCAAGTGATTCTTGTGCCTTGGCCTCCTGAGTAGCTGGGACCACAGGCGTGTGCCACCACGCCCAGCCAATTTTTTTTTTTTTTTAATTCTTACTAGAGATGGGGTTTTGCCATGTTGACCAGGCTGGTCTCAAGCTCCTGGCCTCATGTGATCCACCTGCTCGGCCTCCCAGATTGCTGGGATTACAGGTGTGAGCCACTGTGCCCAGCCTGGAATATCATTTATCTTGACTTTTTGTCATTCCGTAGACAATTCAAAGTTACACTTTCTGGGGCAAGGGTCATAGATAGCTAGCTGAACCTTAAATTATCCTTAATTTTTTTTTTTTGAGATGGAGCCTCGCTCTGTCACCCAGCCTGGAGTGCAGTGGTACGATCTTGGCTCACTGCAGGCTCCACCTCCCAGATTCATGCCATTCTTCTGCCTCAGCCTCCCGAGTAGCTGGGACTACAGGCGCCTGCCAACATGCCTGGCTAGTTTTTTTTGTATTTTTAATAGAGATGGGGTTTAACCGTGTTAGTCAGGATGGTCTCGATCTCTTGACCTTGTGATCCACTCGCCTCAGCCTCCCAGAGTGCTGGGATTACAGGCATGAGCCACCACGCCCAGCAAATTATCCTTAATTTTTCTGTGGTGATCACACCTTAGGGAAACTTCTGTCTTGGCTTTGCTTTAATTTCAGAAAGAAGACAAATTAGCTCGCTTAGAGAAAGCTATCAACCCCTTGCTGGATGATGATGACCAAGTGGCCTTTTCTTTCATTCTGGACAACATAGTCACCCAGAAAATGATGGCAGTTCCAGATGTAAGCTGTCTCTGTGCTAAATATTGTGAGGATCATGCAGGGGAAAGGAAAAATGTATAGGGTGTACGTGTGTGTATTTTGGAGAGTCTAAGTGGGTATGTCAGTTGTGACTGGTACGTGATTTTAAATATTGACCTTTTTGCTGTATGGGTACATTATCTTTTTTTTAAAGAGTACATTATCATTGAAGTCAAAGAGACCAGGAATCTTTGGATGTAGGGAGGTTTTTGCTTCCTGTTGCTGACATTCAGTATATGAATGCTCCTGAGTAGCTCTATAGAGAGAGGGTGCTAGTGAATGTGAGGCTTTTGATTTAAAGGTACTTCTAAGCAAATGATACTTTGATAAATAGACACCGTTGGTTGTCTTTTATTTCGTTTTTATATTGTTATGGTGATCCTCCCTAGGAATTCTCAACAGTTTCCTTTTGCACTATAGGAATGTGTTCTACGTGTGTAATGCTATAAAACTTCCGGATGGGACTAGGGAATAAGAAATTTTAATTATGACTATAGAGCAAGTGTTTTTACCCTATCATGGCATAGAAATCCTTAAAGGAATCTGTGAACCCCTTACATTATATACAGAAGTTTTGTATGATTATGTGTTTTTCTAGGGAAAGAGTCCATAGCTTTTTATAGGAATATTTGTAACCCAACAAAGGTGGTGAAATTCTGGTATGAAGAGTGATTTCCATTTAATTTCTTATGCTTTCTATTTACTAGTCTTGGCCGTTTCATCACCCAGTTAATAAGAAATTTGTTCCAGATTATTACAAAGTGATTGTCAATCCAATGGATTTAGAGACCATACGTAAGGTGAGTGACTGATTTGATCTAAATGCCTTTTTGTAATCAAGTGACTGTGTGTGTGTATCTGAGTGCCTGATTCTTTTCATCACAGAACATCTCGAAGCACAAGTATCAGAGTCGGGAGAGCTTTCTAGATGATGTAAACCTTATTCTGGCCAACAGTGTTAAGTATAATGGTGGGTATTTCTCTTTATTTTCTTTCCATGAATCCATCCATCTTCTATCCATCTGACATTACTTAGCATTATTAAAAAAATTTTTTTTGAGACAGGATCTTGCTCTCCTAACCAGGCTGGATGCTGTGATGTGATCATAGTTCACTGAACCAGGCACACGCCACTGCGCCAGGCTCTTTTTTTAGTAGAGACAGGGTTTTGCTGTTTTGCCCAGGCTGAGCTCAAGCAATCCTCCCACCTCGGCTTCGCAAAATGCTGGGATTACAGGCATGAGCCAACACTCCTAGCCAGCATTATTAAAATTTATGTGCATAAAGCAGCCTTGAGCAGTGATCGCAGAATCAATTGAGTGACTTAGTCTTTTTATTTTTATTTTTTTGAGATGGAGTTTCACTCTTGTCGCCCAGGCTGGAGTACAGTGGCGCGATCTTGGCTCACTGCAACCTCCACCTCTCCCAGGTTCGAGCAATTTTCCTGCCTCAGCCTCCTGAGTAGCTGGGATTACAGGTGCCTACCACCACGCTCAGCTAATTTTTGTATTTTTAGTAGAAATGGGGTTTCACTATGTTGGCCAGGCTTGTCTTGAACTCCTGACCTCAGGTGATCCATCTGCCTCAGCCTCCCAAAGTGCTGGGATTACAGGTGTGAGCCACACTCCTGGCCAGTCTTTTTTTTTTTTTTTTTTCAAAGCAAGCATATATTTTAGTGTGTATGTTGTATAAAGATTGCTATTAGCCTTTAATGATGAAAAAGTAATATATGCTTACTTTTGAAATCTCGGAAGGCACAGAAAAATGAAGTGAGAATAAAAATCAAATGGATATTACTTTGGGCTCTGAGCCGTCACTGCTTTTTCCTAGAATGTGAAAATTCACCTATGTCCCAGGCCCTTAGATGGAGCTTAGGGAAATGGGTAGCTATAGACCGTGGTAAGCTTCCTTGGTGCATGGAGTTTTGCTCAGTACATGAGTTGATTGAATAACATATGCCAGGCTCTGTGCTAGCTGGTTAATCTACTGATAGGAGAGACAGTCACTGTCCTCAAGTAATTCACAATCCAGTTGGCAGAAAGAGACAATTAAAATGCAGCTTGGAACCAGGCATGGTGGCTCATGCCTGTAATCTCAACACTTTGGTAGGCGGAGGTGGGAGGATTGCTTGAGGCCAGGAGTTTGAGACCAGCCTGGGCACACATAGCAAGACCTTCCTTGTCTGTATAAAACACTTACAAATAAAAGTTTAGCTAGGTGTAGTGGTGAGTGCCTGAAGTCTTAGCTATTTGGGATTATAGGTGTGAACTTTTGCACTTGGCCTCAGAAGAGAGTTTATACTATAAATATGGTTATTTTTCAGATTATCAGCATATAAAAATATAAGTAGATGAGCTCAAATAGGGAGTAGGGTACATTCCTTGAACCCTCTGATGTTGTATGTAAAATATGATTATTTTACTGAGTAGAAAGACCATAGATTTTATCAGATTATCAAAGTTGTGTGTGATCCCAAAAAAGATAAGAATCACTGTTTAGTTTAAGAGAGGATGTGGGATAAGAATAGACCTGACAAATTCCAATATTTAAGATAATAGGTGAGGCCCGGCATGGTGGCTCATGCCTGTAATCCCAGCACTTTGGGAGGCCGAGGCGAGTGGATCATGAGGTCAAGAGATCGAGACCATCCTGGCCAGCATAGCAAAACCCTGTCTCTACTAAAAACACAAAAAATAAGCTGGGCGTGGTGGCATGTGCCAGTTGTCCCAACGGGAGGCTGAGGCAGGAGAATCACTTGGACCCGGGAGGCGGAGGTTGCAGTGAGCCGAGATTGCACCCCTGCACTTCAGCCTGGCCACAGAGCAAGACTCTGTCTCAAAAAAAATAAAAAAATTAAAAAAAGTGAATATGAAGGAGTGGCCAGAATGAAAGAAGAAAAACTAAGAGAGAATAATATACTGCAAACTAAGAGAAGAGAATTTCAAAGAGGGAAAATTACCAACAGGTCAAGTGCTACAGAGAAGACCAAAGAGGATGGTTATTAGAAGAGTTATTTCACTGAAGTGGTAGAATAAAAAGCCAGACCGCAGGAGTTATGAATGAATGGGAAGCAAGAAAGTGGAGATTGAGAGTTGCCTGTGAAGGGAAGAAGGAAGTAGACAATATGTTGAGGGGATGAAGGCAGTTGGACAGAGGAGACCTTTGTATAGGTCAAAGAGAAGAAAAGGACATGAAATGCCTATGAAAGTGGGAAGATAGACATTGAGAAAGTTTCCGCCTAAGTAACATCTTAGTTCTCTGTAAAGTAGGAAACGGTATTTTTTGCTGAGATTAAAGTACGAGAAGGAATTTGAAGAAAAATATCAACAAGAATTATTTTTATGGGAAATTGGAAAAGGAGCTGATTAGGGACATTTCAGAAGAATGCTGTTGAGCAGCTTTTCAGGGTCCAGCTGAAGATGGAGACTTTTTTTTTTGAGCAGTATCATTTGGAACAGTTCTGTAATTTTTGTCAGTGCTCATCAGATCAAGTTAGGAAACTGAGAAGGCAGATGATAAAATTGATTCAGGATTGAGATTTTGTTTTGTGGATGTGCTGGAAAGATTGGGAATTGTGAGGGTATTAGCAAAAGAAAAAAAAATTATTGAAGTTCGGGCATCTCAAACCAATAAAGGACGCTTTATTGCAGAGGATTGTGACCGTATAGTCTCCAGTTTGGGGGAATATCTCAGAGCAGCTTCACAAAAGCTTGCAATTTATTTGGCAATTTGTGTTTTATCTTAAAAACTTATGCAAATTTTCCTTTAGGCTTATCTGTACTTTAACTTGCTTTAAATTTCTTACCAAATTACTTCACATCCCCTCTTCAATCTTCAAGTAAAATTGCTGATTCAGGAAGCTATACAACAATGAACCCATAGCTTACTTTGGTATATTCTTCTGCATTACCTTAGTTTTTAAAACATGGGGCTGATTATACATTAAAGTAATGCCAGGAGAGGCTTAATATGTTGAGAGATAGAAACTAATGGGCCTGGCAATTTTCTTGAAGTAAGAGAAAGAGAATGAAAAAACTGGACAGACACAAGGCTGTGGTAAGAAAGTTGAATATTTGGAGTTGAAAGTTCCAGAGGTGAAGCAGTTTTCACTAGATAGCATTCTGGGTATAGCCATGGATGTGTTTGGTAGCCATGGATGTGTTTGGCTGGAGCAAAGGTGCAAACTATTGGCACAAAGATTTGCAGGGATTTGGATAGGTTGTACATGTGAACAATAAAGTAACTCACTATGATGGGAGAGATTTGGAGCCGAGAGAATGATTGTGCCAGGTGCATAAGTTTTTGTGAATGAGAATCAGTTAATAATGGTGACTAAAGGTGAAGAACACAGATTTCAAACTCAGGTGTCCTGCAGGGGCCAGGCAAATAATGTAAATGACTAAGGTGGGCCAGGTGGGATTGTGCTAAACTAGAAGAGTGCATGCATATTCCATCTAAAGCAGCACGTCCTTCATCTGATTGTTGTCCTAAGGAAATGAGTATCCTGTGTTGCTAGATGTCTTAATTTTTCAAGAGAAGCTGAAAATCTGAGTTTTTTTATGTGACATTTCTTAAATTTTTACGTATTTGCAAATAGTTTAAATGTTTCTTTACTCCGTTGGCCAAATAAAAACATCTATCTGCAGGCCAAATTTGGCTCCAAGTCTTCAACCTCTGGCGTAGTGAAAAACAGGCCTTAGAGTAGGAGAGATTTTTTTTTATCCCCAAGAAGAAGTAAATAATGTCTAGGTAGTAGCAGTGGACAGCCTAGAAGGCTGACTTTCCCCCTTCTTAACCAGTGGAATAGGAAACTTCTGAATAGGGCTATAAGGGTTAGTGGTGCCATGTGATATGAAATGATGACATCTAGAAAGACACCATAAAGACATTGAGGAGTTAAAGGCACATGAAATATTTCCCACTATCAGGTGATACACACGAAATATTTCTGTTTAAAACTTTGTTGGTTCAGCCAAATATGATCCTGCCTCTTTTTTTAATTAATAGTAACAAAGTCCAGGCTGGATGCAGCAACTCACTCCTGTAATCCTAATGCTTTGGGAGGCCAAGGCAGGAGAATCTCTTGAGGCCAGAAGTTCAAGATCAGCCCTGGCAAGAGACCCTGTCTCTTAAAAAATTTTAAAAATTACCTGGGCATGGTGGTGTGTGCCTGTTGCTGAGCCCAGGAGTTCAAGGCTGCAGTGAGCCATGATTGTGCCACTGCACTCCAGCTTGGTTGACAGAGTGAGACCCTGTCTCAAAAAACAAAAAATATAAATAGTAACAAAGTCCATGTGGACTTTATTCTCTACGTTAAAATTTTTATTTTGTAAAATTTTATTGTTAGTATTAAAGTTAATCTAAATTAGTAGAATGGTATCTCTAATTAACATTATTTTGACTCTTTATATTCAGATCCTTCACTGATAATATACTGCATATGAGCATATTTCTCTAACATTTTACACTGACTTCCTTGACTTTGTTAGTCACATATTTAGCCCGTGAACTATATTGTGTATAGCCAGAATACTTAGCACTAAGATTAGGGTCATTAGGCAAAAACTAAAAGATAAGTAACACTCCATATAAAACACATCTGGACATAGGCAGCATGTATCAGAGGAATTGGTCTTGTCCTTAAGTGATGACAGTGGACTGTACGCCAGCTGCCACGTAAGTACTAGATCAATTTCAGAACCTCTGTTCATGTTTAAATAGCATTTGAAAAGAACATTAATACAGGGAAGTCCACAACTTTAAGTGGTTGGAGTTATTTACAGCAGTCCCCAAAGTACCACAACAGTTGAAAGAGAGAGTCATACAGATAAGTCCCTTCTCAAAAATACAACCCAAACTTTTTGCCGGACTTAACAAAATTGGCAGAGGCCTTACTACTTAATGTTTAGTTAAATTTGAAATGAGCTGCATAGTCTGTGGCTATACCATCCTAAATGTGCCTGATCTCAT